GTTGCAGGCAAATACACACTTCAAAGTGTGTGGGGGGGGTTACTATCTTGCTGGGTAGAACATTTGAAGCAAGATATGGGACGAAGAGAACCCTCCCCCCCGCCTTTGTGTTGGTCATTGTTTGATCGGAATTTTGGGAATTGTTTACAGATTTCTAGGAGGGATGTGTTAGGTAACAATAGTCTACAGTGTGTATAGGGATTGGACAGGTAAGGGGGGAGGTACCCCTCCGTCCCATATCTTGCCTGGTATATGGAAGAGTGTTGTCGGCACACGTTGTTGAATCATTACAAATCAATCATTACAAGATGATTTTTTTTTTACCATTTACGATAAATTCACTTCAAAAATACTTCATTCCTTCGGGTGGATGACAAATCATTTATGGCGACTTTTAGATAAACTGACTTCCTCAAAGTCAGGCGGTTCAGGCCAAGCCAAAATTTTCACGCTGCCAGATTGTTTGATTTGGTTTTCTTTCCCACGTTGTCTTACGTGTATGTTTTTGGCGAATAAACAGGAACTTTAAGGGAAGAGGTGTTTTGAGGGGGAAATGGTTATACCGGCCGTCAGTATTTTCATTGATCTAAGCGCTTATCAGGTGAGGGTTGGGCGATACACTTTTGTTGTTTTTCTCTGTTCGTTTTAACCCTTGTGAAGAGTGATGGCGTTCCAACTGTGGATGTTGTTTGTTGGTGGGTGTTCAAAGTTCACGCTTAACTAGAACTATTCCATTCGTCAAATTTAGCTCAAGGTCACAGTAGTGATACGCAATGATAATTTCTATTTTCTTTCCACCACTCAGCGAGTAGAATGCAGATATTCAACATGATTCATTACTCAAGCAAAGTAAACTCCAATTTCCGAAACGATTTTGCTCAATTATTTCTACTCGTTGGCATATACTTACTTATGAAATTAACCGATAACACTATCAATTTCTGGGTTTACGGTGGCGTTCTTCTCTTGGAAGGCGAGCGTTAGGTTATGTTGTTGGAGCGCCCTTGATAGAAAAGCGAAAGAGTCGAAAAGGGCGCCCTCAGCAGGTGGGCCAACAGAGGCGAATTACCATAAATCATACGTTGTCGAATCATACGAAATGGGATAGAGGGGTACCCCCCCGATAAGTCCAATCCCTATACACACTTCAGCCAATTGTTACTTAATACACACCCCCTAGATGTCTGAAAGAATTCCTGAGATACTAGTAAAACAATGACCAACACAAAGGCAGGGGGTTCTCTTCGTCTCATAGTTCGCATCGAATGACGTTGTCCACTGTAGCTCTGCATGGTGTTTGAAAAGGGCACCCTCTAACGACATCACGAGGACATTCACATCGGCAAACAAATTGCTAAAATAACACCCGTACTGTTGTGCGATAACTGAAGGAACTTTAGGTAGTCATTTGAAATATTTTTGTTTTGTAGCCTCAAACTGTCGACCGTTTTTGGTTGTGTAATTTAGTAATTTATTTGGCATTTGGAAAAAAACACTTCTCAAAAAGGTTCCATTACAAATCATAAATTCAACTAATTATAGACTCCTTTAAATACCAGTAACAGCCACATTTTAAAGTGGTTTGTCACGATAAGGAAGTGTATACTCTCACTAGCTCCAATGATTATGACTCATCGTTACGGTTGAGTAACCCCTTTGTGGACGTATGTATGACGTTGTCCCAACGGTTAAATCAAACTGGTACCCAGCAGACGCGCAGTATCCTTTCCATGTACGATAACTGCAGTACAACTCTCACAAGCCAGCAATCACAGAGGGCATGCACTCTTTCAGTGCTATACTGATGCAGATACCGTCATCAAAATGGCCCCGCAATCGTCAAAATCTAACCCCACCCTCACTGTGCTTATCACGACACTGATCTCCATCATCAACTACGGTAAGATTATTATCAACTCTAGCAATACGACAATTACGTAGGATGGTTTTGGACGGAGCAGTCGTTCGTCAGTGCTTATCAGTCTTCAAGTTCTGAAATTCCTCCATGCTCCACAGTACTCAATATGCCCACTGCATCACAGAGGTCGTATGCTAAGTGCAACAAGAGCCAAGGTTGTAGGGTTAACCAGTAAATCTCATTGTCACGTCTTGCTACTGGGGTAGTACTTAGCCATCATGTACAGGTCTTAACACAGCGAGGCTGGAATTTCACCGGTACAATGATGCTCTGTACCCTTAGCCATCGTTGAAGTTTGACAGAAATCATCCCCAAAACACCGATCTCCTGCCTTTTGTTGCCAATGACAGGTAGATGCTTTTAAAGACATTAGAAATGGAACTCATGCCGATATTTGCTGCCCATTCACATGCTGTTTACAATTATGTGGAATTTGAAGTAAAAATGTATGAAATAGTGCTTGCCCGCAGGCTGTAGACCTAAGCTTCGATGGTCACAGCTGCTTTCATTGCATGTATCGGATACATCGCATGGCGTTGACATGCAGTAAGTACAATGAAGTAGAATCTCAATGGCGCTTTGTAATCAAGATGTGATGCCTAAATTTCTTACTCACAAAGGGAGAATTCAGCTTCCAACCTACAAGCCTGACCATACACAAGGTCATGCAATTAATTACAGCACGAATTTACACACTTTGCATACATCAATATGAACACCGATGCAGGTGTAACGTTGTTCTCCTCTTAGTGGTTAAGAAAAACAATCAAAATCACGGTTTACGTAATATTTTGCAATCATAGCAACTGTAATCCTTCAAAAACTTCCAAAAGCTTCGCCTATAGTTGTTTGCAAATAGTACATGTACACGGTATATAATACAGAGCAAAGGAACAATTACTTGTCACTACACACCACGAGATTTTTTTTGCGTTGTGGGGTCGCTATTTACAAGACAGACATGAAAACTATGGACGTTTTGAAACTGGTGGGGCCTTTATTAACTCTTACGATAGTTTTCTCGATGTAATAGCCTTTTATTTCAGGAAACCTTTAAGTGGTTTGAAACTGCCGTAAGTTTGCCTGTGTTAATTCACGCGTGTACTCACGAGAACGCCTGTGTGGAAGTTGTGAATTCGTCAGAGCAAACTGCAATTGTAGCATGATTTCTCCTTGAGTTTCTAAAGTGGCCCCACTCACTGTCTGCACTCCTAAATGCCCCCCCCCAGCTTTTGCCGACTACTGTCAGGGATACACCGATCCTTTAACCGGCGAGTTCGTAACGGGATTCTACTGTCCTGGATTCAGCGATGATTACCAGTACTACAAATGTTGCGGACCGTCTGACAGCCAGTACTGCTGCAACATTGAAGACTACAACAATTACCATGGACGCTTCTATTGGAGGTCAGTATTGTTCAACACACCGACACTCACTTAGATGCTGTATTTTATGAATGGGGTTTTCTGTTGGAGAATGAGCCACGATTTGGCGAGCGTTCATGCGGACTGAGCATCGGCCGCTTTGGATTTATTTCTCAAAGTTCTGTTTCACAACAACAAGAGGGAATATGTTTCCTTTTAAGATGAACTTACATTAGTTTCTTTTGGGGTGTCCCTGTTAAACCTGTGGTTCTCATTTCCGACCGATCCTTATTTCATGGCTCCAACTGCGGGAAAAAAAACACATTTTTTTATGCAGCCAACCCAGTCTAGAATTTCCTACAAGGAAATAAAGAGAAAATATAATTATCTTGAGGATGTCAGGGGACAAGCAAGTGATTTGTTTTATCCCTAATTTTTCCAGCAGAATTAACTGCATGTACGGACGCCCTTCCAAAGATCAACTTGCAGATTGATTTTCATGCCAACTCCTTTTGTTTTCATTTTCCCAATTTCCTCGCGCCTTTCCATATCTCCATTGTACTTTTTTTCTCCTTTTGTACTTTGTCCTGCACTCTTAGGCTCATCCCTCCGTCCCCACATGTCCTCTTCCTGTTTGTTTTTGTTCCAGTGGCATTTGGCCCTTGAGAGGAATCCTCCTGAACGTCAGTATTATAATCTCTATAAACCTTAAAGGCCGGTTCATACTACAGGCGAGTGTGAAAGGGAAGCGAATTTGATGTCACAAACGATCTGCATCGAAATGTCGCTTGTGTTGCAATGTGTTCAACTTTTGCGAATTCGGAACGCGAATATTTGATCCGCCATCTGACGTCACAAAATCGCATTTATGTTCGCTATTGCGCCAAGTGTGAACCGACCTTCAAAAGTAGCGTGCTTTGTAATTCAACAGCATATATGACAACGAAACCAACTTGAATGTCCCAAATGGAAGTCCCGGGTTCAACGTTGACTTGACTCACCAGTATATGTATGTTTTTCTGAATGTCCATCTTATACTTCGCTGTTACATGTGTCTTTTATCCTGTAACTACTGATTTTTAATGGATTCCTGTTGTTTTTATCACAGTATTGTTTAAGACTCAGCAGTGGTAATTTTGATGTGTTATAATAATGTATATATTCATATTGTAAAATTTTCAGATATTTCAATCTGACTAATGTATTATATTTTTTATTTATAATTTCAATTTTAATGTTATTTTTTTATAAATGAATCCTGTAAATGGCAGATAACCGCTATTAGTTTCATTAAATGAATAAATAAGACGTGCCAATTTAATTCCTCAACAGAAAAGGCAAGTGACGTGTGAAATGGGTCATAAACACGATCTGTTAATCGAATGCTTGTTTGATTATCGACCTGATCGATCATCTAAACAAGTATAGTGCACATTATCCTTGGTCCGTCACAATCTTAGTCTGTGTAAACGTAAGGAGACAGTATTTATGATACCTGTACGTGTATTCAATGTTTAGGACTCGATTTACACCACCTCTGCACTTGGGAAGTTCCCAAGGTGAAGAGAGGTTTTAACAGTGGGCACAGTGACGAGACACTGTGGTGATAATTATGCCAAACTTACAGTGACAGAGATCTCGACACTATAGAATCTGCCTGCTGTGGTATACATGTACATGTGTTGTGTTGTGTGGTTAATGGAGAATTATTGTTGTCCCGGTGCAGTGTTGGAAAAATAATTGGCGTGGTGATCGGTGGCATCTTGGGATTGGTCGTCCTTGTCGTCGTCATAGCGATGGTCGTCTGTTGTTACGCCAGGAACTTCAAACGACGACAGCAGACGGCGACTACCTCTGGTGAGTGCGGCAAAGGATCGGACACTGTTCTTATTTCCCACATCGTCGTAACGATCACTAACAGCGTCGCCAAAGAGTCCCTGTTGACAATGGAAACGTTTTCGATGGACGCAATGAGGAACTCACATCCGTTTTAGACAGGCGTTCTAGTGTCGCGCCGAACCAAACAGAATTAAGACCGACTTGGGTCGACCCAATTAACTTTTGGTTTTAGATATACGAACCTAATACATACATTTGCATTGGGTTTAGCACATGAAAAGAGCGACGTCTGAGACCAAGTCGTTCTGGTGTCGTTCCGAGCGCCTTCAAGTGTAGATTTTTCGCCTGCTAGCACGTGTGGTCGCTCCTGATTGTTTCAGACGTCGAACTTTTGCCACACTTAATTCAAAATCTGCTTTTAATTTCGTGCGACTCTAGAACGCCTGTCTGCATAATAGAGGTATGTCGTCTTACTCAATAGACTGCCTAAATTGGACCCATGTTCTCTTTTATTCGATCAACAATTGAAACCGAATAGGGCCCATAACAAACATGAAATGAAGAAAAAGGCAATTATAGTGCTCATCAGGAAAAAGCATACAAATCACTTAGCATGAAAAATATTCGAAGTTCGGGATGCCGGGTTCTTTTCAATTTTCTCTTTGACTTCCCTGCGGTTTGACATCTTTAGTAATGTCGGTAGTTGTCATAACTAGGGGAATTACGCTTAAGTAATTAAGTTGGGTAATTAACTAACAGATATTCTTTTCAAAGACTTTCTTGCAACTTTGAATTGATGAATATTCAACAGGTAAAAGGAATTCCTAAAAAGTAAACGAAAATCTTATAGAAGAAATTAAAGACAGAAACCCACGTTCGCCTTTAATTCACCAAGTGAGATTCGAGCTCAAGTCACAGAGGTAGAAGGCAAGGAAAGCAACTTGGGGGCGAAGACATTTCCCACTGTTAAATTCCGTAGAGTATTGCATGTAGTTATAGACTGATTAGACAATTTTGAGAGAGAGGAAACATCTTAAGGCCCCACTAAACTCAGACTGTAGTTCGGGGTGTCTCATCACCCGTAAATCTATTTTGCATTAAAGCCCGAGTTTGTTGGTATAAAGGCCATGTTGTGCTTTCATGGCTGATGTTACTGTGCAAAAGCTTACAAGGCTTTTCTTGACTATTGAAGGTACTGCTGCTGTCACGCAAATCAGGCAGTCACTGTTCGGTTTCAATGTTCAAATCTTGTACCAAGCGTTTGCTTTTTGAAACATTTCCGAGAAAGGATTGCTCGTTGGCTTATTGCCATGTAATACTCAACAGTAAATTGTCAAAGAATTGGAAATTTGAGACAGCACAATGTAAAAGAATTCTAGCAGTTCTGTGTGTGGGTATGTGTGTATGTGCACAAATCAATGCAACATTGAGGGTTAGTGCCTGGGATGACATCTCAGTTGTGTCAGGAATCTGGAAATATGCATTAGCATAAACACAAAAGGCTCCAAAATACCAGTTAAAATTGCAGGTTGAAATAAGGTTAACACAAAGGTACATTTTCAAGGGATGTAATAAAAATAATTGCATTGCACGGACCCTTTGTGCGTCAAGGATGAACTACATGTACACCTACAGTCGAACCTCGTTAATTAATAAGAGCACTGTTGTTAATAATACAAGATTCTGCTTATAACAAGGAAATTTTTAGGTCCTAATCCTTTGTTTTCATTCCTGATAATACATGTTTCTTGTTATAACAAGGTAACACGCCAAGTCTGAAGGACCTCTTATTAACGAGGTTCGACTGTACTTGAAACCGGTTTATCCAGACTCAGCATACACACATAAATTTTAATGGTCTGATCATGCCCTCAGCGTCTCGGGGAGGGACAGTTATGCATACTCAAGCATCGATCCTTTCAATTCATATAATGAAGACCATTTTGTTTTACAATCAGGCACACATTCAATGATAAGGACCCGCACAACGCAGAGACAAAGGTTGGACTATTCACAACAGAGGCAAGACTATCAGCAGCAAAGTCTGGGCCACTCGCATCAAAGTCAGTCCATTTCAAGCCGAGAACAGGCCTACGAATCGCTGGGACCCAGTTACCCACCCCCTGCGTACATCACGCTCCCTCATCAGAGCCACCCGCAGCCCAAGCAAACTCCTGTAGGCCAGGACTATTACAGGTATGGCCAGGCACACCCGGCTCCGAGCTACGTGGACTTTTCTCAACAGGCGCTGGAGTTCAGTTCGCCTCAGCCCGACTACAACTCGCACAAACCCGACGCTGCCAATACGTTCGCGCCCGAAGCGGCACCTCCTCCACCCATCTGATGATGTAAACGGCAGAGCCGACCGATGACGCGTTGCAGTTTCTCCTTCTTAATGCCCTATCCCTGGTGAGACGGATGGTCTAAGTACGGTCCAAGGGCTTTTTAGGGATTTTGTTAAGATAGTACTAAGACCAACGGGAGTTCAAGTTGAATGTCATACCACTCGGACACTGATTTCATTCTCGAATGCTGGCTGTTTTAAATAGTCGTGTCATAAGAAACAGGGACGTCAGGAGGCAGAAGGTTTAATGCCACACTACTGCCAAAGCACAACTTTCCCACTGTTCCTATTTTGCATATTTCTTTGGTTGATTTATTACATTTACATGTAAAAGACAGCCAGTCACTGATCAAAGCTTTACAGTAAGTTTAACACTGGGTTCACCATTTTTAAAGAAATGTAACAAAATATATATAACTATCAGTTAACAAAGATACTCATAAGTAAAGCAGCAAAGGCTTGTCATTTATTGTGCATTGTGTAAATCGGTTTTGTTGAGAAATTCATTTCTTTTAATTAGAAATTAATACATGTACGCAAATTTAAGGCAAACTTATGATGTGCAACAGATCTAAAAGCCGGTAGGAAACGTGTTCATTGGTCGTAGTGCTCTGGATATCGACTCAGCTTTAGGGGAAATTGGTTTAAAATGCCCATGCGATATATACTGAATTTTTAGATTTTTAAATATTTTTGCAGCTCATGGTATGTTCCACATTGTTGTAATGTGTTGGATATTTTTCGCAAGCCTTTTGTGAATGGGAGTTAACTTTGACCCAAATCTGGTACACTGAGTTCTTTAAATTCACGTGAACATAAAAACTTGAATTCTCCATACTAAAACCACTGTTGCCATACCTTGTATACCCAGCAAGAAATGAGGCCGAGGGGTACCCCCCCCCCCAAC